ACAATTTTCCCTTTGGCCTGCAAATCCCCCCAATCAACAAAACCACCTCCTCATCCCAGCCTCCCAAAACCCTTCCACCAGACTGAAAAAACCCACCTTGATCCCCCCTTAAAACCTCACATTTTAAATTTCCATAGCCCCATATATTTTCCCGGAATACCATCCACCCCAAGATCGCCAAACCCCGCTCTGTGGTCTGAAAAACCCCACGTCTATGTTCAATCTCTCCCCTCCTACCCCTGCCCCACATAAATCCATCCAACCTTGCCTCATAACTCCCCCGTAATAGGTATACTCAACCTGATACCCCCCCCTGCCAACCACATCACCACCCCCCACATCACCCAATCATCCCCTTAAAACACCCAACCAACCCCCCCCCCCCAGGAACTCCTACAGCCTAATCCAAATTCCAATCACCCCAATTTCGCTATGGCAGGTAAACCCCCGGAAAAGATTAAAAAAACGTCACAACAAAATTGATTTTACCTTCGTTACCAAACGCAGCAAAAAACTCCCACAAAACTCCCCCACTCTCCCCCCCCCACCCCTCCACCCCCAAAACCCCCCCCCACCCCCCTCCTCCCAACCCCCCGACCGCAAGGGGCTGGTCTCCTTTTCTAAAACAGCCACTCCGCCCTTTAAAGGGGTGCCATCCACAAACAACTTTATCCTTCAATCTCAACTCACACCTGACTTTTAGTTATGCCCTGTAGGAAACCAACACAACTCTTCTTTTAAGGAAACCCCCCCCCAAACCCCACCCTTTTAACCTCAGTTTTTAAGCCTTAGCTTTATCGTTACCACCGAAAGGGCAAGGAGAGGCGGGTTCCCCTAGCCGCGTGGTTGCTCACACTTCCCTTCAACGTTTCACTTCCTTTTTACTCTTTTTTAATAAACTTCCTACCCCCCCTTTCCCCCCCGGGTTTTTCCCCCTTTCCCCCCCCCCTTAGGGGAATTTGGGGGCCACCTCCGCCCAAACCCTTCTTACCTGGTCTTTGCCCCGGGGTTAAAACATCACTAATTTAGTCACCCCGCTGGTCTCTTCCTAGAGCGCCTCCCAAAACCACCTCTTCCAGGTACATCCTCCCTGTACCTCTGCCCCAAAATGATCCTTTCCGTGTTCCCACTACTTTCCCCTTTTCACCAGGCCTTGCAATTGCTGCTTTTCACTGATGTTCTCCATTCCCCTCCCACCAAGGCCTCCTCCCGAATTTGGGGCATGACCCAAGGAAACCCCCCTTTTCTTACCACTTCCTCCCACCTCAATTTGGGAAGGAACTTCCTCCTCCACGGGAAATGTACACACGCCCCATCGTTCCCCCCCTTTTCCCCCCCCCTCCTCCATAGATGTCCTTTTGCCCCCGCCCACCACACTCGCCGCTGGATTCCTCCCGGGCTGACACCCCCGGGGCAAAATCTACTGCCATTGGGCTAATGGCAAAAAAGCCACAAAACCCCGTTCTCCCTTTGCCCCCCAACACACAATTTTCCCGTTTCTGGGCCGGCAACATTACATCAAGGGATAGGGTCTTTAAAGTCCTTGATTTGTATGACCCCCTTCCCCGGGGGCCCCCCATATGGTCCATCCCCGCCAAACCCCACCCTTTGGGTTCATGAAACACCATATTGCAAAAACTTCCGATACCAAAATGCGTTGCCTCAAAGGGTACATTCCTCACTCACCCCCGTGTAGAAGTAATACGCATGCAAGCACACATCCATCTGAGTTAACAAATTCCCGTTCCTGATACTCCTCACCACAAAAGCTGTAGACTTTCCCCAGGAACTTTTCAAATACAGTTTCATCCCATAAGGCCACACCCAAAAGTTTTTTATTTGGGATACCAATAAATCCCAATAAATTTCAGGGAGAACGACGTTCTAGTAGCAGGGCCAGAGAACCCCCCAACAGCTAATTTCAAACTGTATTTTTCCCCTGCCGGTGACCCGCCCGTCTGAACAGGAAAACTGCCAGAAACCGTTGTAGTGGGGCTACTGCCCATGCCCGCCCCGGCCCAACAGCGAGCGAACAATAATTTGGAATTGGGTCTTAGGGAAAGGGGGATGTGGTTCCAGGGGGGGGGGGTTGTGTTTTGGGGGTTTTTGCGGATTTTTGCGAGATGTTGGATGGTAGAGTTGGGGGGAAGTAGGGGGGAAAGGATGGAGCCACTTTTATTTTGTAGGGGGGTATGAGGGGCCGTTAGAAGGGTTTAGTTAGGCAGGGCATAGGTGTGGAGAGGGGGGAGGACTTCGATGTGGTTTTTTGATCTCGTGCTGTTAAGAGATTTGAGGGGGGAATGGCATAGGAAGTTTTTGCAGGATATTGGAAATTAAATGTGGGGCATTTAGGAAGAGGGTGACCCTACGGGTTTGAAGTTTGGGTGGAAATTTTTTTGGAACTAGGAAATGGAAAGGATTTCTGGTTGGTGGGAAATGAGGGCAAATTTAAATTTTGGGAAATTTTTTAAAGTAGGGGGTTTAAAGGAGATGGTGGTGGAGCAGGCCAAAAAAATTATCTTGGGGTCTTTAAATGACTGTTTGGAGGAACGGGTGGGGGGGAGTGGGACAGGGAACTTTTGCAAATAGGTTGGCGGAAAATCACAATGAAAAATTTGAGCTTTTTCGAGTTAGGGGGGTTGGAGGATGTCTTAAGGGGAAAGGGCCATGGGGTTTTGTATTAAGGGGTTAAGGAAGGGCAGGCGAAGACCACCTTGGGTTAGAGGCAGGTACAGGGGGGGGTGGCATTTGAGGGGGCCCCAAGGCCTATCCACCACGGAAAATTTTATTTGTATAATTTTTGGTTTAGGGAGAAGGGGGAGGTTGGGGGGGGGAGGGGTGAGGGCGGTTTTTGGGATAAAGGGTTTAAAGGGAAATTAAGGAGCAGGACAGTGACAAATCAGGGTAGTATTATGTAGAGGGGGGGGGAGGCATTTTTTGGGGTGTGCCGGGGTAAAACCCCCGCATAGAGGGAATACCAAAATTTTTTTATAGGTATCATTGGGGGAGTGTACGGCATTGTCGGTGGGGGTTTTGAATTGTTTGTTAAGTAGTGGGAGGATGGGAAATCACAAAAACGGGTTCACGGTTTTAGTCCCCCAAAAAAAGGGAATGCCGAGTTTTGAAGATTACCTGCGAACTTTAAATGTCCCGGGTTTACAAGATTTTTGCTAAGGTTTTGGGCAACAGAAGGGAAAGGTTGGGTTTGTTTTAATGGGGGACAGGGGAATTCCGGGAAGAAGGATAGGGATGGCATGGTTTGATTAGGGATTTTTAGGAGATTCGGAGGGGGGAATACTGGGTTTGATGGGTAAATGCTTATGATGCGGGGAAAAGGATTTCTTGGGGGTTTGCTTAAAAGGGGTTTGGGTTTGGGGAGGGGGAGTGAGGTGGGGAACACCCAAAAAGATGGGGCGGGGTGAGGGTACAGGTCAATGGGGGGTTGGGTGAAGGCCCAAATGGAGGATTTTTTAGGCGGGCTGCCGATGTCACAGTGTCTTGCGGTGGGAATCCTTTTTTTGGTTGTTTAGAGGGGAATGAACAATCAGGAGATGGAAGGGGGTGCAATGGGGCTCGTTGGGGTTTTGGGTGAAAACAACGTTTTTGCTAAGGGGGGAAGGAGGGGTTAGGAGGGGGGGTGAGTTAACAGAGTTTGGTATAATACCCCAATGAGAGTTAAACGGTGAAATCAAGTTTCAGAGGTCGGTAATTGGATAGGGGGGGGGGCTTGGGGATAGGGTTAATGGGACAGTGGTTGACAGAAAAAGGGATGTGGGATATGGTATTTTGGGGGAAATCAGGGAGCAGAAGGGGAAATTCGGAGTCTGCAGGGGTAAGTTTTTTAAAAGCTAGGGGGGTTTAAGTGCGAAGGACTTAGCTTACATCAGAGGGAGTGGTGGGAAATTCACTTGTCTATAGCAAAGGGATGGGGGGGGGGCAGGGTTTTTCCTTGGGGACGAGATATTGGGAAAGCAGAGGGGGGTGCGAAGTTTGTTGGGATTTGGGAGGGCATGGAAGTAAGGGGTAGTTAGACGGATGTTCGGGAAAAGGGGTTTAGGTTTTTTTCCCTTTTTGGACTGAAGGGAATGGCTGTATAATCAAGTGGGGTTAGGGGAAAGGGGGGGGGGAGGGGGGCCAAAGTAGGAGAGTTATGGGGAGGCACTAAATTGGGGAGGGGGGGGAATTGAGGTTTGTGAAATTTGTTGAGATTTTTTATTGACGGGCCAAAAAGGTGGAAAAATCAAAGGAAACGGTTGGGGAGGGTAGTGAAAGGTCAGGAATTATCCAAGGGGTTTGCC